TTTCTATATTCAAAATAAATAATGATTTTTCGCATAAATAAATATGAGAGTAACTCAAAAGCATTCATACTATAATCATTTTTCAAGACGTACATAGTTTTGTATTAGAGAAAATGATGCTTATGTGTAGATATGTATTAAATATAGAAATAAATTAGAAATTCAAGATTCTAGACCAAATCCATATATAAGATGGATTGGTATTTGCAGCCGAATCTATTTGGATGGATCAATCTAATTTGGAAAAATTGCATCAATATTAGCATGATACATAGGATCAGCATGCTAGAGCCTAGCAATGAAATGAGGAGATGTAGTTTTTCTATGCATTTCTTCTATAAGCCAAATGCTTGCTTCGGCTTTGGCTGGATCGATGAGTGTATCCAATGGAACGTCTTCATCGCTAGCCCCAATCCTCAAACTATCACACTTCTTTATGGAGAGATTGGTCGGATAGTGCAGCAATTGCCCATATAACCCCTTGATTGATGCAGCCAACCCTATCCATGAGTTACAAGGAATCAGAGAGGCCTTCCTCGTGGGGATAGGAATCATCTGCTGGTATTCTTGGTACATTCTCGCTTTTTTGAGTATAACATTTGCATTATAAAGCCCATATGTAAGGAAACGAAAAAGTAAAAGTAACTAGGAAACTAAAAGGAAGGGAGAAATAATCTATACCTAAATCCTGATCAGCCATGAAAAGCAAAAAGAGAACAAAAACCAGTTGAACCATTCAGAGAAGCTAAGCTCCTTCTAATTTCTTTATTTTATTCGTAACGTCGAAGAGAGGACTTATATATAGGGAGAGCAGTCAGGTGATGGAGATCACGTGACATAGGGATAAAATTAGATCACATTTTCTATATGTCCTCTTTTGGATGATTTTATGGAACATAATCATTGTCATATCAGGAGGAAAATAAGAGGTACGATGTATGAATTTGTTATTTTTATTTTTTCGATCAAATATTGAAAAATGTGTGTTAACGCATCAAATTGATATTTTTATATATTCGATCATGAGAATATACTAATTTGATGCTTTTAACATATTTTTCAATATTTGATTGAACAAATAAAAATAGCAAATTCGTACACTATAACTCTTATTTTCCTCGTGATTTGACAATGATTATGTTCTACAGAATCATCCAAAAGAGGACATATAGAAAACGTGATCTAGTTTTATCCTTATGTCAGGTGATCTCCATCACCTGACTACTCTACCTATATATAAGTCCTCTCTTCGCCATTACGAATAAAATAAAGAAATTAGAAGGAGCTAAGTTTCTCTGAATGGTTCAACTGGTTTTTGTTCTCTTTTTGCTTTTCATGACTGATCAGGATTTAGGTATAGATTATTTCTCCCTTACTTTTAGTTTCCTAGTTACTTTTACTTTTTCGTTTCCTTACATATGGGCTTTATAATGCAAATGTTATACTCAAAAAAGCGAGAATGTACCAAGAGTACCAGCAGATGATTCCTATCCCCACGAGGAAGACCTCTCTGATTCCTTGTAACTCATGGATAGGGTTGGCTGCATCAATCAAGGGGTTATATGGGCAACTACTGCACTACCCGACCAATCTCTCCATAAAGAAGTGGGATAGTTTGAGGATTGGGGCTAGCGATGAAGACATTCCATTGGATACATTCATCGATCCAGCCAAAGCCGAAGCAAGCATTTGGCTTATAGAAGAAATGCATAGAAAAACTACATCTCCTTATTTCATTGCTAGGCTCTAGCATGCTGATCTTATGTATCATGCTAATATTGATGCAATTTCCTAGATTAGAATGATCCATCCAAATAGATTCGGCTGCAAATACCAATCCATCTTATATATGGATTTGGTCTAGAATCTTGAATTTCTAATTTATTTCTATATTTAATACATATCTACACATAAACATCATTTTCTCTAATACAAAACTATGTACATTTTGAAAAATGATTATATTATGAATGTTTTTGAGTTTCTCTCATATTTATTTATGCTAAAAATCATTATTTATTTTGAATACAGAAATTTAATTAAAAACTCTATTCTATTGAATAAGTAACTGGTGAAATACTAATTTATAAATTTAATTGAAATATTAAAATTATCAAATTTGACTCCTCTCCATTTCTCTTCTTTCCTTCCCGAAGTTTTCCTCTTTTTGATTTTGTTTTAGTTAGTCTTTTTTTAGACTAAGGGCATTTCGTAGCCAATAAGTTAACGAAGAGTATTTTTGAAGTCCTCTATATTAGAGAAGCCCACTCTTCAAATGTAAGCAAAAAAATGAGAAGGAGCTAAACTTCTCTGAATGGTTCAACTTTTTTTATTTTCTTTTTGCTTTCCATGGCCGATCAGGATTTAGGTATATATTATTTCTACTTTCCTTTTAATTTCCTACTTATTTTTACTTTTTGTGTTTCCTTACATGTGGGCTTTATACTGCAGGTGTTATACTCAGAAAAGCGAAAATGTACCAAGAGTACATGCAGATGGTTCCTATCCCCGCAAGGAAGGCCTCTCTGATTCCTTGTAACTCATGGATAGGGTTGGCTGCATCAATCAAGGGGTTATATGGGCAACTGTGCACTACCTGACCAATCTCTCCATAAAGAAGTGGGATAGTTTGAGGATTGGAGCTAGCGATGAAGACGTTCCATTGGATACACTCATCGATCCAGCCAAAGCCGAAGCAAACATTTGGCTTATAGAAGAAATGCATATTTATACTACCTCTCCTTTTTTTCATTACTAGGCTCTGGCATGCTGATCCTATGTATCATGTTTATATTGATGCAATTTTCCCAAAATTAAGTTATATTATTTTAATTTTTTAGTTTTAGTTTTCATCTAAGACTTATTTAATTAAATATTTTACTCCATAATATATATATATATATATATATATATATATATATATTATTCAAATATAGAACCCACAAATTGCAAGGGAGCAATATTATTCAAATTATGTGATGTTTGACATGCAAACTATACACAACCTCCCCAAATTATCACATAGTAGGTCTAATTAAATGTTGGCACAACTCAAAACAAATTGTACCCGAACAAAATAATCAAAAAGTAAGAAAAAAAGGCAGAATGCTCAAAGTTGTTAGGTACATTCTGCATTTACAGTTTATCATTCATATTCTATTGGTGTCACAACTTCTGAATAATTCAGTATACTATGGAGAACATTAACTCACTATATGTTGTTCCTGAAAATTATTGAAAAGTGAATACAACAGAAATAGTCAACACAAGTTTCTGTTAAAGTCTATCAATTTCAATATTTGCCCAAAAAGAAGATTTAGACAGGAAAAAATAAGTAATCCTTTTAAGAGTCAATTTCATCTTTATCCGCTTGAACAAGTCATGTTTTTATGTAAACTACAAACACCTTTTAGAGTACATATTTTGTCAAGCCCTCTCTTGGCAAAATTGGGATAGAAATGAGCCACAATCTCTATTAAGATAAAATTCATAAGAAGGTGATTTATTGATAGATTTATTTTGGCTACCAAAAAGCCATCTTTCTTTTAGAAAGCTCAATAAAGTTGCTATTTAAATTATCTCACTTAGACATTGTAGCTTCTATATTTAACAAAACGATAAGAACCTTATAAGTTCAAGCAAATTAAAGATAATGATACAAAGGAATGATATAAACTTGCTTTGACATTAGTCTTACCTCTAGCATTAATTATTTGAGTGCCTAACTTGGATAAAAACATATTATAACTATGTTTTTATCCTTTTATTTCAGTTTACTACTTGTAACTTAAGATTTTCAATTCAATAAAGGAAAAGTTGAACAACAATCTTTTAAAGCAAAACCTATCCTACATGCACAATCACATAAAATGTGAAAGGTAGATAATACAGATAAATACCTCATTAAGGAAATGAATATTACCTAAATCATTTCCAAACATCATTAGTCTCCTACAGTATGATCATCCTCTCGATCCCAACATTGTTCTTATGAATATGATATACTATAGTGTTTTGGTATCAGAAGTTGCAATTCAAACAATACAAGAATAACAGAAGAAATTCAGATCATACTAAAAGTATAACTTAAGAATAACTACTAAATACTAATACAACATCATCCAAAATAGAACACTATGGTTCCCTACAATTCTTAAAAGTTTGAAAAGGGTGTAAAATTGTACCTGAAGGCTTGAAAAAATTAGAGAATCTAAAATCAATCAATTTCCATGGTTTGACCAGCTTGTCGTTCTGTTTCTAGAACTTAATTGTTTTTCTCGATTACTCAGCAACACAGTTGTTAAAGCGAGTAAGGATCCAAAAATTCTAATTGGCAAGTATATCAAATGTTTTTGAATCACAAAGGAGTCAAATAGTACACATAGTATATATTAATACAAAGTAAAGGCAAATTACCAAGGATTTGGTAACTCTTCATCTTCTATGTCATGGGAACAATAAGAGTAAATTCCTAAAGAAATTGTTGGACATAAAAGTATATCTACAAATAAAAAGATATCAACATATATAAAATCTTTCCATCCATACCCACATTTTACATATAAAATAAAGATAATCACCAAAAAGTAAAACTTACTTGATTGAAGTAGCACTGTATACATTCTTAATATCTTGTCTCTATCTTTCATAATTAGTTAGCAAGGAAGTTAAAAGCATTTCATTAACATCCTAAAAATATATTATTTTCATATTAATCGGACAATCCGTTTGTTGGTCATAATGTCTTTTGTGGATCTGGGGGATATGATTGACACAATTATCAAAATGAAGCATCATTTGTTGCTAAATTATATATAAATGGACTCCAAAAATTTATTCGCAGATAAAATCATAACATCAATTAGTATTAGATAGTTGAAAGTAAGATATTTCAACTTACAAAATAAATTAAGCAAAGCTTGAAGAAACCGTTAAATTGGACCTATGATCGAATAGAGAGAACCAACTGAAACGCGATAAGAAACGTATAAAACAATGTATTAAAAGAAGATTTCTTTGTTTGATATGAAGTAATTTTATACAATACCCATTAAATACCGGTTACAAAGCAAAAGTATGTGACTTCTTCAGTTGTCGTGTCATGCCCCAATGCTATTTTTCTTCCTTAGAATCCACATCCCTCTTATATGTTTTCGAAATTTCATTTTCATATGGCCTTGTAAAGTTGTACATGTACCATTCACCTTTTTGAACCCACACTTTTGTAATCACCCTTTTTAAAATTACCTTTACTTCCACATTATATTTTCATAACCACTTCATGAGAAAATTATTTTTTTCCTTCATCTAGTTATTTCTAAGGCTGCTAATTTCTTGTTCAATGTGACATTGTCCCACTTAATTAGATGTATCGCCTTATTCTCTCCGTTTCTTTGTCATTTTTCTCCTTCTCATTATGTCTCTTTCATAAAATTTCTATGTCATATTTATAGCATCGGGGGAAGAAAGACATCAAATAAATACTATTATTAATTAGTATTACATTTCTTTCCATAGTTTAAAACTATTATTTCTCGCCTAAGTTAATATAGGATTAGGCAACATAATTTAAATGTCAATACCCAGTCTACTTGGCCAAAAAAAGATAAATTTCGTTTTAACAACAGTGTCATCATATTGAATCATCACTTGAATCTGAATATGAAATTCAGTACACAAAACAATTAAGAGTTAAAATATGAAATTTATAGCACCGCATACTGCCATCATTGCATTTCCTATAAATATGAAATGTCCAAAATAATATTGATACATAGTTTATAATTTTATATCTCAAAGAAATGATAGAATTTACTCATATAAATGGAGAAACATAATTTGCATCTTACCGTAAGTAGAGGGAATCATATCATTCCTGACACAATCCAAATCGAAGGCACATTTTCATGCAGTCTGCCAGAAACAACAAAAAGAACATAGAAAAAGATCAATTTTACTTGATTGAAAAATAAATATAAATACATAACATGAGAAGTGTTTTTCAATCATTTGTAACATTAATAATGCCATCCAACATGAGTGATACACTAATTTTCGTTTTCACATCTATCAATTAACTCCTGGAGGAGCAAAAATAAGTAGTTTGGAAGACTATATTTCGAAAATTCCTACGGGTTCATGGACACTATCTATTTCATTAATAGGGAATAACAAAACTCATTCTGCAACAGAACTCCTAAAGTATCCTTATATTTTAGTTTCATCATTGAACGACACTGCCAACTATTTATCAAAACACCCATCAGCCATCAAAAGTTCACTTCTCCTATGTGAATCGATGATTGATATTGCAGGTAAGAAACTCACACACACGATAGTTTAGATAAAGTTTTCAGCCTTCACTGCAGAAACAAATAATCAAAAAAGCAAAATCAATGAATTTTTCGAAGCAATTAATATAACTTTCCCTGTTTTGGAATACCCATTTCCATTTGTTTCCAATATTCTTGTATAGTTGGTTGTGGAGATCATCAAATCCACCCATTATCCAAATCGAAAATTCAATTTCAGGTATTGCTGCTCAATTTATCCAAAACAAAGGAAAGTTATATATATGAAATTGAGAAAGAGAGTAGAGAGAGCTTGATGTTCCCAGCCTCTCATCTGTTCAATTTCTCTCATTTCCTTTCTTCTCCAAGTACATACAAAGGGCTACATGAAAAATTAACAGATTGAAAGAACACCCACATCCAAAACAAAACAGAAGAAACAATAACAAAAATTACAAAAAAAATTGAAATACAAAGTCGTAAATAGGGGATGACGGAGAAGAGAAGGAGAAAACGGCAGCAACAACAACTTCGAATCAAGTTCCTACCACAACTTTAAAAAATTTTGAAACCCTCATCAGATGAAAAAATTGACAAAAAGTGATCAATCAAAGACTAAAAAAGAGAAGAAGAAGAAGAAGAAAAAAACAAGGTAAGAGGCAATGCATACCTAAGATGACTCAAGTTTCACTGGAAATTTCAAATGAAGCCTTCCATTTTGCAAGAGTATTTGTTCTTAAATTTCCCAATGGAAAGGAAGAAAGATATATCACAGAAAAAAAAAGGTGTTACGAGCTATGTTCCATATTTATTCAATAAGTGCTAGGCTCGTTGGACTGACATGATCTAATTCGGAATTTAATAGGGATGGATTAAGATTTTTGAAGCCCATTTAAAAAAATGACTTTTTAGTTCGGCCTAACTAAGCCTGTTGATTTGAGGAGCTTGAGAAATATAGATAGGGTCAACCCGTGGGTCAATAAGAATTAATAAAAATATAATATAATATTAAAATTTAAAATTAAAGAGAGTCTAAGCTCAAAATAATCAGGTTAATATTTCTATGTGAAAATTGTATATAATAGCAACCTATTAATTCAAATTAAATGCTATAAATATACTTTGATTTAATTGTACCCTATATAGCAAACTATAGCTATTTATGCCACTCTCCTTGGTGGAATCTCGCTCGCCACTCTGTTTGGTGACAGACTCTCTCGCCTCTCTCGCTTTTTATACAAACACAAATGTATAAAATGTGTTTGTGTTTGTATAAAGCAAGAGAAAATTGTATAAATACATATATTTTAGTTCCCCTCTCCCATATCTCGTCCCCCACTCTCCCTAATCTCGCTTACCACCGTCTCCTCTCACGCTTATACAAACAGAAAAGAAATATATAAATTGTGTTTCTGTTTGTATAAAGCGAGAGAAAATTTATATACACATGCAAATATATATATTTTTCATCTTATACACTTATAATTATACAATACAAATATTCCCCCGCCCAAGTCTCTTTTGCCTTTCTCTCTTTCTCGTTTTATATAAATTCAAATTATATATAAGTTCTCTCTTTCTCATTTTATACAATTCGTTTTATACAATTTTCTTCAATTTTATATGTATAATAAATTATACATATATATGTTTGCTATGGAGCGCAATTATGCAAATTTTGCTAGAACATAAAAATATGAATTTTGTGCTTGTTATATGTGAAAGTTGTCCTATTTCTATTTACATATTTATTCTTTTACTTGAAAAAAAAAACTTAATAAATATTATAAAGATAATTTTATTTGTGGATTTAATTAACAAGTAGTAACATTAACATGATGTAATATTGTTTTGTCGAAATTTATGATAATATTTTTAAATTATAACTTATAATTTAATTTAATAATTATAAAAATATATATATATATATATATATATATATTTTTAAAAGTGGCTTGGTCCGGCAAGCCCGTAGCCCACGTTCTCGTGGATTGAGCCGATCATTTTCTGGCCCACATTAAAAATGGGCTAGCCCGACCTGACCTGAAAAATGTCAAAGCCTGTATGGGGTGGGCTAGCTCATATTGACAACTCTAAGTACAATAAAGTAGTACAATTTAACTTGCTTGTAGTACAACTTTCTTATGTTATGTTAGTCCCTCTCCAACTGTCTCTTCTTAATATTCTACATAATATATATATATATATATATATATATATATAAATTTAACTATATATTACAATATGAAAATTCAACCAGATAATATGAATTTGATTGTTTTAAAAAAATAAATCTGAAAAAGAAGTACTTGAGAAAGTTGATGACATCTACAACAATCACGACTTGTAATATCAATCTGATTTGTTGGGAATCCTCACAAGTGGGAAGATGGATGAGTTCACATGTTTTCTGTAACGTCCCGAGCCTACATCCTGAACGTAGCCAGCACTCGAAAATCCTTGTTAGCCCCAAGCGAATTCTTGACATGGCTCAATACTCAGGGGAAGACTTACAATATATGAACAATTGCAAAAGATCTTTTAACTCAAGAATATATAAGAATATTCTACTAGCCAGAAATAGACAACTCAAGTCTTTAAAACGTTTAACAAATAAGTGGAAAAGACTCCTCAAAACACTGCTATCTATCTACAAAACTCCTCATGAATTCATTTGGAAATCGATGTTTTTTCTAATTTTAAATGCAAAAAATTTAATTTTTGGAATACTTAGTTCCCATATATTTATTTTGAAAATGAAACTCAACTCTCTTCATCCTCATACTCAATTACTCAAATCTTAAAATAAGTTTTAGAAATTTGTAAAAGACTTTTCAAAACAACTCAAAAGACTCTCTCAAACTCGATTCTTAACCTTTTCTTGAATTTGCATTATGAATTCAAGAGTTACGACTCATGATACGAAGGATCTCTTGATGATTAAATGTAATTTAAATTGTTAGAATTAAAAAATGAATGAAAGTTCAACTCGAAGGGATGAAAACAAATAGATGATCCTTGATGTAAAACCATAGTTAATAGAAACTCCTTTATATTTTTTTGGGCTCATTTGGTAGAAGGGATAAAAAATAATTAATTTTAGGATTAGTTCATGTCATGTTTAGTTATATATATATCATGAGATTGTAGTGTTATGATATTCCATATTATGAGTGAGATGACTAATTTCGAGATAATTAGTCTTGAAATAACTTGTTAGTTAATGACTCTCTTATCTATGTCATTAGTGAATTGAAAGGGATAGTCTCATCAATGTATCAAATCTCAATTTCTACTCTAAATTGCTTTATTCTAATGCCATATTAGGAATATCTTCAAGTGTGTAACAATCAAAAGCTTTATGCCATATTAGGAATATCTTCAAGTGTGTAACAATCAAAAGCTTTTTTCAGGTATTGCTACTAGATTATTATAATTATAATAATGAAGAGATTTTAAACTATTAAAAAAATAGAAATAAATTAAAATTGCATCTAATTTTAAAACACATGACATGCTGTGTGTATTTACTCCCTTTGTCTAATTATATGGTTTACATTTCAATTTTTCGATAAAGATTTATATACATCTTACCTTTTTCGGAATCAATTTCATTTCGTTGGGTATGTTATTTTATTTTTAAGAATATAGATTTATCTAAACAAAGGGAAAAAAAATTCTTACTTTAGCTAGCACACAAGGTGTTTGAGTAAATTCCAAAGAGAACTTTTATATAAGTTTCCTCCCTAAGTCTACTCATTTATGCTTAGAATTATTACCCCTTCTTCTGAACTAACATATAGTTCCATCAAAGTTCAAAACTTTTTAGGAAAATTTGGGGGTAGGTGGGGAATTGAAACCGTAAGTTGAAAGTTCAGGTAGCCAACAAACTGTCGCTAAGATTTTTTGAAAAAGTTTAAAACTTTAATAGTTCAATAATCAGAAATCTTGTATAGCAACATAATGATATTACATAGTATTTTAAAATGTTTCAACATACAAGAATCATAAAAAATTAGGACAGTATGGTTTTCAGGTTGTGTTAGAGAGCTTAATAATTATTTTCCTTTTTGGTTGCATCTTATTTTTAATCAAATGAGTAGAGTTTTATGGATTTTTTGCCGTTATTGTGTGTCTTACACATTATAATTCTTTTTGCAGGGGTAGATTGGCTAAATATCAATCTTTTTAAGCTGTTACAGACTGTTGTTGGTATTGCAAATGTGCCACAATCTTGTTCTTACTCATTATAGTTTATGCCCTCTAGCTTTAGTGTGCAACGCAGTAACCTTCTTCTTTCCCAAATTCAGAAGTTCATACCTAAAAAGTGGACAAGTGTAAGAGAATCAAACACCCGAAAAAACTGTGGCCAAACCTTGCTGTGTAGCTCACATGAATGTATTTCAGGGCCTTGTAAAGGAAGTAATGAATCAATGGTGGATTGCTTACTGACAACCTTGAAGGACTTTGCAGGCCAAGGCCACATATGCAAAGCCTTTAGAACCTTTTCTCTAATACGGACTCATGTCTCTTCTCAAACCCCTTGTGATCTTGTTATACAGTCATTATCATCTCTTTTATTATGTTGTACTAATAGCAAGTCACTCTCTGAAGGGAAACAAATTCATGCATGCATTATTAATTTGGGCATTGCACATAGTTGGAATTTGGTGCCGAGGATAATCACCTTTTATACGACCTCTGGTTTAGTTGATGATGCTCATGTAATTGCTGAAACTTCAAATATCTTGCACCCGCTTCCTTGGAATCTCCTTATTTCTTCTTATGTTAAAAAGCGGCAAAATGAGGAGGCATTCTCTGCCTATAGGCAGATGGTGAATAGAGGTATAAGACCTGATGATTTCACTTATCCGTCTGTTCTTAAGGCCTGTGGTGAACAACTAAATCTTGCTTTTGGCCGTGATATTCACAACTCTATAGATGCTAGTTTACTAGAGCATAACTTGTTTGTCCAGAATGCTTTAGTTTCTATGTATGCAAAGTGTGGGGAAGTGGATGTTGCACATGATATATTTGAAAGGATGCCAGTTAAGGATGCAGTTTCTTGGAATTCGATGATCTCTGGTTATGCTTCCAAAGGTAGGTGGAGTAAAGCTTTTGAGATTTTTGATAGAATGAGGGCTACTGATGCTGAATTCGATATTATTACTTGGAACACCATAGCTGGAGGTTGCTTGAAGACAGGTAACTTTGTTGGGGCTCTTAAATTGTTATCTCAAATGAGAACTTGTGGAATTCAGCTAGAAACTGTGGCAACACTTATTGGCTTGGGTGCATGTTCCCACACTGGTTTGTTAGAAATTGGAAAACAGATTCATGGCTTAGTGATCCGAAGTCACCTTGATGATTTTGATAATGTAAGAAATGCTTTAATCAATATGTATGCCAGATGCAAGGCACTCAAGCAGGCACATCTTTTGTTTCAGTTTGTTGACTCTAAGACTGTAATTACTTGGAATACAATCATATCTGGCTTTGCACATTGGGACAGGTCTGAGGAAACTTCCTTTCTTTTCCGAGAAATGCTGCTTTCTGGTGTTGAGCCGAATTATATCACTATAGCAGGCATTCTTCCCCTGTGTGCTAGGGTGGCAAATTTACAACATGGTAAAGAATTTCACTGCTATCTTACAAGACGTGAAGGGTTTGAGGAATATTTGCTCTTGTGGAATTCTCTTGTGGATATGTATGCAAGATCTGGAAAGGTATTAGCAGCCAGAAAATTATTTAATTTGATGAGCAAGAAAGATGCAGTTACCTACACTTCGCTGATAGCAGGATATGGTATTCAAGGTGAAGGAAGAGAAGCAATTGAACTATTTAATGAAATGATAAGGCTCCACATAAAACCAGACCATGTGACCATGGTTGCTGCTTTGTCAGCCTGTAGTCATTCAGGCCTTGTGATGCAGGGCCAGAAACTATTTGAACAGATGCAAAGTACTTATGGTATAAATCCTCATTTGCAACACTTCTCTTGCATGGTTGACCTCTTTGGTAGGGCTGGTCTACTTAAAAAAGCAAAGGAAATCATTATAAAGATGCCTTTTGAGCCGACACCTGAAATGTGGGCAACTCTCCTTGGAGCATGTAGGATTCATAGGAATACTGAGATAGGAGAGTGGGCAGCCGAGAAACTGCTGGAGCTGAGGCCTGATAAGCCTGGATACTATGTGTTGATTGCTAATATGTATGCAGATGCTGGGCGTTGGAACAAACTGGCAAAAGTGAGGACCGTCATGCGAGATTTTGGTGTAAGAAAGTCTCCAGGATGTGCTTGGGTTGATACTGGTTCTGGCTTTTCCCCCTTTTTGGTTTCAGATACCTCCAGTGGCCAAACAAATGAAATTTACTGTCTACTGGGAGGACTGAATAGGCTAATGAAAGACACTGGTCATTTGACTACAGAGGATTCGTCTTCCGAAGAAGAACTTTGTGAAGGACTTCTTTTGTAGTAAAGAAAGGCGAGACTATGTCCAGTCCTTTGACTGTTCCCACAAGAACTTTGCTCATGTTTCCTGTTGCAAAGTATTTGTCATCGCTCATGCAGAATATGTGCCAGTTTGATCAAACATTCTGTTTTTTCTGCCACGGTTGAGGTAAATGACTCTGGCATTAAATGCCTTGTTTTATGCATATCAGCAGTTTCTTTTAACCATGTCAGAGAAAGGTTAGCAAATTCTTAGGCTTGTGATTCTTGCAATGCCATAGTTGTCTTTTCACTCCCCCTTGTCTGAAGCTCGGATTTTTCTTGATATTTTTGACTGCTGATGATTTTTCTTTTTACAAATTGCAGCCTTGCAGGTTTTGGAGAGTAAGGAAACACTTCTAGAATCTATACCAGTCTTCAAGGTAGAGGACACAGACTCCTAAACTGATGAATTATGTTTTTCAAGTGTTAAAGTCTATTTTCTCATTAGTTTTGTAGGCTTGTGATCTCAGTTGCAATGCCCAGGGTTCTTTCCCTGCAGCATATGCTTCATTTCGCAAGATAAATCCCTTGGTGCAGACTCATTCTTTTCCAAATATTACGACCGTTCATTTTATACTGATGCAGTTTTTAGGTATGTTCATCCTTTCTTGATTTACTCTCTCAAATCCCTTGGTGCAGACTCATTCTATCCAAATATTTTTTTTGATGTGCTCCGTGATGTATTTATATCAATACTGCCTTTAATAGATCTTGAGACTAGTCAGTTTTGTTTGAAGATGAATATAGAATTAACAAATGATAAGATTCAACATTAAGTTATAGAAGTTCTATCACCTTCCGTTGGGTTGAGCCATTTAGTTTTTATTTGAAGTTGGAACTTCAAGCTTCGTAACTGTTCTGATGAAAAATGCATTTTGTAGACTGCATTATGAATTATATCATAGTGTTCTATAAGTACAAATAAATAATAGCATTTTAGCGAATGCCTGAATGGTACATCAACTTGCATGTGCCACAGAAATGCATTCAAAACACTGCAGTGCTAAATCATTGTTGAACTGATAACCCTTTCTGTTTTACTTTGTGAATTTCCGCGCCATTGCTGAAACAATTGATTTGATTTTCATTCTCTTGCCAAAAATGCAGAAGCAAACAATGGACGAAAATCTGGCATTTAAAATGCTAGAAAACAACTTGAAGTTAATCTGGGATCATTGTTTGTTAGATGGTTCTTCAAGCTGACCAAGTTTTGCGGCTATGAATATAATGTAGATACGGAGAGATGGTCCGTAGTCCTGCACGAAGAGATAGAAGGTTAGATTAGCATTACTAAACTGAACCTTGAATCCTGGAAACACCAACGTTAGCCTGAAAACCTCTTTCAAGAAAAGAAATACTTGTAAAACGAACATATATTATTATTACTCATATGTGTTCCACACCAATGTTTTAAAGAGGCAAAGTGAGGTGATTCATTGGTGAATTTGTTCAGTTTGATGTTGACCTTAAATGTATCAAACAACTGGGCAGAAGCTGTTGCTCTTCTTTATGGACACACATGAAGCACAAAAAGAGGACATACAAGATTGATTACTGAGAGTGTCCTCCAAAATGTTAGTTGATTGTATCAAATGGAATAATTGAACTCCATGGAGGATGCTTAATGAAGTAAGGATGATCAAAGATTTGCTCAATCCACATTCAACAATGCTTTTAGAGAAGCTAATCAAGTAGCAGACAGATTAGATTACCTTGATGTGAATGTCGAGATACTCTTTTTATCCATTTTATTACATCTTTGAGTCTTTTAACGTATCATTTTTAGGTGAAAGATATGAATTTTGTTAAATGTATTTGAATTTTGATGAATATGAATTCAATAGGTTTATAATTTTTAAAAACGAGCTTTAATCACATGATATACCAATGAGAAAATGAGTTTAAATAAAAAAAATTATTTTTGAGAGAAATACTAATATTTAAATAATTTCATTATCCTAAAAAATTAAAATCACTTTCAATAGTCAATTTTTTGAGTAGCTCCGAGATGAAAGAGATAAAGAAGAAAATATAGGGAGAACCTAAAATTATTTCAAAATATTACTATTTACACTAAAAAGGGAACTGTGATTACTTAGAGATGGACATGGTATAGTGTTAAAAAATTTAAGTTGGTGTATAATTTTGATATTTGAAAATATATATATCCTTATTATCAAATTAATTAATACGATATATTTAAATTCAGTTTCAATAAATTTATCGATTATAATACAATAAAATTGATAATCATAATATATCGGACTTCAATTTGTATATATTCGTATAATAAAAATAACTTCAATTTTTTCAAAAACATTTCATTTCAATTATATTAACATTTATTTAAGAGTGAATAAAATTGAATCGAATTCAAACATGATTGATTCAAATTGATGTGAATAACACAAAATAAAAAATAGAAATAAACTATGTATTTAATTGTCTACAATTTCTAATTACAATTACCTCAATAATAAAATATCAAAAAAATGTGCAGAGATTATCAACAAACCATTAAAGAAAACTTAAGCTAATACTCTTTGTCTCTGTATCATCATTTTAGATTTACGCTCCATAAGAAACTAAGTAAATTTTGAAATAATAACATAAATTAATTTATTTGGTTAATCAATCGATAAATAAATATGAATTAATCATTTAATTTTATTATGTTAGTCAAATTACAACTTTCGAGGGATAAAATAGGAAGATTAGTAACAAGGACAACATATAAATAGAACGGAGTCGGAGTTCTAACAATAAATACATGATTTTTTAAAAATATATACTTCTTATTGTTTCTTCGAAGTGTTAATACGGTGCTTCTCTTTTTAGGTATGTACCTTCTTCATCTTTTGTGTGTTCAGTGCTTATGGTTCTTCGTTGAATCTTTGCCTTTTAATCGAATTTATTTGATTTTTCTGCGTTTATATGTATATATTGAGCAAACTGAATTTGGGGTTCTTTGGAGGATTTGTAATTTTGATGGTTTTAGGGTTGAGCCGCCCTTGGAAATGAGTGTTGAGTGTTGGGCTGTGAAAGTTTTAGACATATCCACAGAGATGAGTTGTTGCTAGGTGACTAAGCTAAGATAAGATGGATATAGGGTCATACAAGATTAGAAATGAACACAGCAACATACAATGAGGATAGAATGAGAAAATGTAAGGCTTGGGCAATGTATTGCATAGACTCTAGATGCATTAGCATATAGGCAAAGAACAATAATGAGTGTTTAAAGGAGAGGAGGTTGATACTTATCATTTCACAAAAGAAGAGGGGACGTGGTAGAATCAAAATCACATGAGAAGAAGTTGTATTTGAAAGACTTACAATAGGGCACATTGGAGTGTGGAAGAAAACAATTTATAAAAGTGATACCTATTAGTTGTTGGGAGTCTTGGGACAAAATTCTAGTCGCGTTAGTCCGTTTACTTTAAGTCTTATGTTTGTAGAGTCTTTAATCCTATATGAGATTATATGCTAATAGAAATATAAAAACTTTTAAAACCTAAGTATTATTATGTTTTTTTTTTGTATAATATGGTCTATGATGACACACGCAATGAGGACTCATATAGTAACCCCATCTTATTTGGAATTGAGGTCTATTGGTTGTTGTAAGATACTAAAATCTGTATTTTTGTTAACAAAAACAAGATGTCTTTGTTTAAGGGTATTTTTAGCATTTCAGAGTTCTAAAGGTATTGCTATTTCATATTCCATATGACCTAAATAATAGATGATTTTCATTAAAGCTATACAATGTATTGTTTATGTGGGACGAAAATGGTAACCAAATAGGTAGAGTTTTATGCATTGTTATCTTTTCTATGCTAGAAACCGATCAGCTCGTCATTGTCTATCTTAAAGATGCTTCAGTGCTGGTTCTTTCTGACTTTGTCATTCCAGGTTAGTTGAAATGATATCCAGCTTGAAGCGTTTACCGCATTTCTGGTGTTTGGGAGCTCAAAGGCGTCTGTATGTCTGGAGGAGTTCTGTTCACTATGTTTCTGATGATTTGTTGTGCAGTAGATTTTGTTCTATGACTGAGACAATTGACATTAATCAGCAGCGAAAGGTGACCGAGTCACCAGAACTTCCAGATTGGGTTAGAATTGTTAAGCAGGAGGAAGCAGCAGTCAAACTGGAAGATGATGACTTCTTACTTCCCTCATTCTCAGAATGGGTAAAAAATGAGAAGCTTCGTGCAAGAGAAGTTGATGTGAGAAGTTTGGCAAGTGATTTGACGGAAAACGATGTTGATAAGATTAGCAAAGTACTGAGGTTTAATTTCAAATCACCTGATGCCGTTGTGGATGCATTGAATAAAAGCAGCTTTGTTGTTTCAGAGTGTTTAGTTGAGCAAATTTTGAAAAGGTTCAGTTTCGAGTGGATACCTTCTTACGGGTTTTTTAAATGGGCCAAAATGCAAAAGGGTGTCACACTTTCCTCTGACTTGTATAATCTAATGGTTGACAACTTAGGAAAATCGAAGAAGTTTGGTCTTATGATGGAATTGTTTGATGAAATGAGTCACTTACAAGGATATGTTTCATTGAATACAATGAGTAAAATCATGAGAAGGTTTGCCAAGTCTGGTAAATATGAGGATGCCATAGGGGCATTTGAAAGAATGGAAGAATTCGGTTTACAGAAGGATACAAGTGCGATGAATCTGTTAATCGATGCATTGGTGAAGGGAGGAAGTGTCGAGCATGCTCATAAAGTGTACCTTGATTTGAAGAATCATATAGTTCCATCAGTTCAAACATATAATATCTTAGTGCATGGTTGGTGCAGAGGAGCTAGAAAAATTGATAAAGCAAATGAAACAGTTAAAGATATGGAAGAACATGGTTTAAGCCCTGATGTGTGTACTTATACTTGCTTCATTGAAGCCTATTGTCGTGAAAAAAACTTCCCTAAAGTTGATGCTATTTTCAAAGAGATGCAAATGAAGGGGCACTCACCAAGTGTGGTGACATATACTATAACTATGAAAGCTTTAGGGCAGGCAAAGGAATTGAACAAAGCCTTGGATGTATATGAGAAGATGAAACAAAATGGTTGTGTTCCTGATAATTCTTTTTATAGCAGCTTGATCCATATAATAGGAACAAGTGGGAGACTGAAGGATTGTTACGATATATTTGAAGATATGCCAAATCGAGGAGTCTCACCTGATACGTTCACATATAACACAATGATTACAATTGCTGCACACAACTCTAAAGAAGAGGATGCTTTAAAATTTCTCCAGAAAATGGAGGAGAGTCGCTGTAAGCCTGATATTTCTACTTACATGCCATTATTTAAAATGTGCTGCAGAATGAGGAGACTGAAGGTTCTATCCTTCTTATTGAACCACATGTTCAAAAATGACGTGAGCATGGATCTTGGAACATATGCTCTTCTGGTTCGCGGCCTTTGTAGGAACAGGAATCCTGAGCGTGCTTGTGCTGTTTTTGAACTAGCAGTGCTACGAGGGTTCCTCCCTACAGACACCATGTATGATAATCTCGTCAAAGAACTCGAGAAAAGGGGTTTAAAGGAAGAAAAGAAATATGTAGAAGAACTGATGTCGCAAGCTAAGCAGCAAGCATCAGACATTTCATCTGAGAGACCTATAAATATTGAAGAATAGATCTTTTCTTGTTTGTAAGGGAAATGTTGTACAAGATTTGGTTGACAAAATCTTGATGTTTGTTTTCTTTATTTTTCTGTTCATGATACTGAAGTTCTAACTCAAAGGTTCTTTACTTGAAAGAAGATTGAACAAAAAAATTGTCACAAAATGAAAGAGGTACCTTGTTGTATTTAAAGGAAAATAAATACAAAAGTATACTGTGTATAGTCTGTTGAGAACATATATTTGAGCATAATGTACAGAGAACAACACATTCAATTTCTTCAACCTAGGAAATAAAACTACAAAGGCATATTCCCTTGAAACCAGCCAAACTTCTTGACTAGAACCAGTGTTGAACATGGGGTGTATTTCGTGATTCAGAAGCTTCCATCTCGAGCCATCTTGTTACAGACATATTTGAGTAGTAACATGAAGAGTTAAAACTTCTGTCTAGTTTCATGGCTTTCATCTCGTGTTACAGAGACATTAAATAGCAACACCGAAGAATTAAAACTTGTGTCTTGTGTCTTGGGAGATCAGTGAAATCGATCTACTCTTTTGAGTTGATCTCTTTGTCCTTGGCCTTTGCCATCCTTGTCCTTCTAGGAACTCCTCTATTAACCTGAAAAATGAACGATTAAAGAGCATTAGATATCACAAATGACACAATTAAAACAGACAAAAGGCTACTAATTATACTCACATGCTGCAAATAGCCTTCTGTGAGGAAGCCAGCTTGCGATCTGGAAAGCTCTCTTCCAAGCGATAACTCAACCAAACATACAGATCCAAAACCTTCCAATTATGACAAACAGTGAATTTCATTTTTTAAAAAAACAAAAAAACAAATAGCTAACAATGGTATATTCTATTTGAAATGTTATCCAGGAAACACCCAAACAGAAAACATCAGTTATCATCACATTTAGCAACCATCCTTGTATGCATTGTCGCCACCAAGTAATATTAGTTACACCAGTCTGAATGCACACATCGGAAAAACAAGTTTGTACCAACATAATACCAATGTGAGATCTGTAACAGGAGGCAATGATTTTTAAATTCACAGGCAGACTGTCATACTCCTAACTTCGGTTTCAACTTCCATTTTTTACGACTTTTCAACTCATTGGATAGATAAGAGCAAGAAATGGAACATATGAACAAAAAATCTGGTCAAATTCCATCCAACAGAAGATATAGAAGATTGTCTATATGAAGTTCTCAATGAGTTATGGAAGAAAATGAAATTTTGACATATACCCAATAGAGTTAACTACATACTCTCAGAATAATTAATAATCATAGAGTGGATATTCCCCCACCCACCCCAAATTATAAGAATGAGGGCCTCATGCTCATGAAAATTCATGGCCTACAATATCTATGCACAAAAAACTAGAAGACTTTCATAAAATGGAAGAAGATGCTGAGATGAAGTTCCAAGAGTTCTGACTCTACCCTTGCACGAAACGAGACTCTTCTACAGTTGAGCACAATAAATATGAGTCAATCCATCAATTTAACCTCAATTCCTAGTCCCTAGACTACTAAGGATCGGATACATGAATCCTCCATATCCATTAGACTTTATCAAGGCCCATTTCATCAATAGTTCCAAGCAGTTTGTCTTTTGAAGCAAATTCAGTTTTGACAAGGATCACCATAAGTGCAATTATTGTGATCACTAAGGTAAGCAACAAAAATGCTTGCATAAACATAAAACATCATATGTTACAGAGGATATGAATTCAGAAATCATCTGAACACTTGTAAGCAATCACTCTTAGGATTCAGAAATTAAGAGAGCCAGCTATGGTTTTTATTAAAAGGACTGCTCCCTTGACTATAGGTACTTCACCTTCCCCTGGTGAACTGCTTAACGGGTGTGGACAAAGTGCGATATAGCAAAATACGACATGCTAACCTTGTGAATTGATTCAAGCTCCTTAAGTGCAGTATGAGATGTTGGCACCTTAAGTGTCCCAGGAGTAAATATTTCTCGCAGTCGTACCAGGCCATTGTTAGAATAATTTGTCGCAAACTGATGCATCAAAGCAGTGATCATTAAAGTAGTCATTCAAAACAGCCATCCTTGAAATGCTTAAGGTAAAAATCATCTTACTTGAGTGAGGCCTTGAGATGAAATGTCATCATCCATTTCAACCGGACTGCATATGACAAATAGAAATGAGTCAATGCTAGAAGCCCCTCCCCCACCCCAAAATTATGGATTTGCACACACTTTTTGCTATGGCCAAGCTACAAAACACTACAATAAATGTCACAACTTTCACTTATCTTCGCTGTAAGAACCAAAGATGTTACCTTATACAGAAAAGATATTTATCATGCAAACTGAGGGGTAGTGTATCAATAATAGCAGCAACTTTCTATCCCGCAGGTACAGTACAATCAACCCAAATAAAAAGAAAAAGATTAGTAATCCACAATGGAACAGTTTTGCTACAAGGAGGAAAGAAAACAAATTGAACAAGAATATCATACCAACAATTCATCACAATTAGCAATGAAATAATGTTCTGATAACTTGGCATTGTCCATAAAATGCTCCTATAAGGAAAAAAGTAGAGAAGTTATGAGCACTCTACGTGCTATCTCGCAGAAAGCAAAGAAGAACAAACCACTGTGTAACAGTTTCAGTGGCAAAATCCACTATGTAGAGAAATTATGAGTACTCTACGTGCAATCTCGCAGAAAGCAAAAGAACAAACCACTGTGTAACAGTTTCAATGGCAAAATCTATTGTATTACATTTATTAACATTTTATTTTTTCCTTCCCAAATTTCTAATAACATATAACGAAGACAGAAACACACATGATAGAGGTCCTTTGCAAGTTATAAGTAGATGATTATTGTAGAACTAGACTATGAGAATCTGAGCCAGTAACTCACCAGTATCTCATGTATTCCATGCTTTGGATGTAGACGAGAATACATGTATAAAAGGTCAAAGTTTGGAAAGACACCAGCTCGCTGCATTGTAAATTTATTGCTCTTGATTAGAACATCCCACTAAAACTGAAAGCACTCTAAGGAATTGATCTTGTAGGGGAGACTGCCTCTACAATAAAACGACAACAAATGCAACGATGTTATTCCAGAATTTAGTATGGCGCTAATTCAGCCGTAAGTCAATAACCTCAAGTACAGGAGATGGATGATCCAGTGAGGAATGAAGTAATGGCAGATCATCTGCATTTAAGCAAGTTACTTCACCGACAGGAAAATTGGATTTGTACCTGCCTGCTCGTCCTACAAGACAGTTTAATCGCCAAAATAATCATTTCACAGAATATACATACTTTCTATGCATAAGTGCATAAGTTTGGGATAACGTTCACGTAGCTCCTGAAAATACATCAAAGTGTCCAAATTGAGATTTGAAGCTCACTGGGTTCAGAAAAAGGGTATTTAGTAAAGCTGCTAAAACAGCTACTCAAAAAGTTCAGAATCAAAAAAACCAAGGAACAACTTTTTGGGAACTCTTTCTGAACAGGTATTTCATCAGTAATCCGATGTCGGAATGGAGTGAATCTGAAAAACAAAATTAAGAAAATTTCCATTTGGATGGTATTTTTTCTCACGACACAATGTTGATCTGTTCCAAAACTGAAGTGTATAGAAAGGAGGGGTTAGCTATTGTTAACCCAGTACAAGAAAGTAAGGGTAGCTGATGGCTTCAGATCCCATGAGAATACTTCTCTGAAGCCTCAGGCATCAGTCACAGCTCACACTCACTCAGTATTTCTTCCCCTTCTTCATTCTTAAGCTTTTCAACTGAATAGCTTTTGAGGAAAGATTTTTACTCAATACTTAAGTGAGTAGTTACTGTTCCTTTTTCAGAATGCTTTGTCCTTGCCAATTTTAGTATTTTGCCTTGGTTTCTTCACTCCTGTAATTCTCTTGGGCCGAGGATCTAACGGAAACAGCCTCTCTACCTCCCAAGGTAGGAGTCAGGTATGCGTACTCACTAACCCTCCCCACACCTCACTTGTGGATTGCACTGGATATGTTGTAATTTTGATCAAAGAATATGAAAAACAATTCTGGAGTTCTTGTAATAGACTTCCACAGAACACTCTACCAGATGTCATAAACCTATACATAATCTTAGGTAAGGAGGAGGGTAAAGAGGAGAAAGAAGAGGTCTTCATATAACAAAATAACTGTACAGGAAAAGAAACACAGATGAATAAAATTATGAATGTCCAGGGCCAGGGCTCTATATTATGCTTCAATATAAAGCATTTTACTACATCCAAATGATTCAGAATCTTCAGATGGAAATGAGCCTCCCCATCCCGACACCCATCCTCTTTGTTTTTCATTTATGTAATTGTTCTTTATTTTATTCAGTAAATGGCCACCCATATAAAATATCTCCTGTAGTATACACATTACAAGGAAGGAGGATAAGATGTGTCTTATTACAACATTAAGTGTTGATTTAAAAATGTACCTCCCATAATTTATACTCCCTCCGTCCCATTTTATATAAGTTAGTTTGACTCGGCACGGAATTTAAGAAAAAAATGAAGACCTTTAAAACTAGTGGTCTAAAATAAGTGATAGATATTTGTGGCTATAAATTATTTCATTAAGGGTAAAATGGATAATTTAAAATTACATTGTTACTTAATATAGAAATTTGTCATTCTTTTTGGGACTAACTAAAAAGGAGATAAGTCATATAAACTGTGACAGGAGGAGTATTAAAGGAAGGAGGTTAATTGCGTCTAATCACAAATATTGCTTTCATTTTTTATGAAGAAAGAGCATATTGAATACTACTAAACCATTTTCAACCACCTACAGACTACAGTATTAAAAGGAAAGCTATGATGGTGAATTCCTGAAAAGATAAGTACTCAATCAGATCTGACCCTCTGTACCAAGTTTCTCCACAGTAAAATAACATACCTGCTATCTGCTTTATCTCTGGTACAGTTAGGTCCCGTATTTCAACACCATCAAATTTCTGTAATGTTGAAAATATAATTCTAGAAATGTTAAGGTTGAGACCCATCCCAATAGCATCACTCGCGACAAGAACATCAGAGTTGCTGCTTGCATCATTGAACATTGTTGCCTGCAATCTTAAAGAAAGTACTTACTAGCTAATTTGCCAGCATGATAATAGACATTAAAAGTGGATTGTAATTTAGGTGAGTCATCACATGGAATGCCATAAAAGCTGTAATATAAACTAGGACTGATCATAGCACACTGAAAGACAAAAATAAAACATAAAAAAGAGGATGATAGCTCATATTTAAGAAGAATAAGTCAGGGCAGATGACAGGAAGGCCATATGGCCATCATAAATACTTGATGATTAAAAAGAGACTCTAGTAGAATGATAATTTTTATAAAATGAGTTATCCTCAGCCTGAAAAAAAAGATGGGTTACAACTAACCAAGAAACTTATACAATGAGTTATCCTCAACCTGAAAAAAAATGGATTGCAACTAACCAAGAAACTAACACAGGAAGCATCACCAGGAGACTGGATAAGGGCCAATCTTAACTCTAGATAGACAAAAGGAAGGATCAGAAGTAAACCTGTCTAGTTCGAGTCTCTGGCGGCAATGAACCATAAACAACAGAACAACGATGCATTCCTCCAGCTTCAATTTGCTTCTGTCAATATTAAGAACAATGGTATGAATCAGGATAAGCAGAACTTTAAAATCTAAAATTTCATTTATCCTTTGAGCATATCAGGACAAGAAGTTCAATAGCTATTACAAAATCTTGGGATTATGCAAAGCAGAACTAGATTTAACTCATCAAAACTTCATCAATTGAGTACCAAATGATTTCAATTTGCTATCAGGATACATTTTACATGCCAATTTACTGTTCCCTACCCAGTTGTGCTGTGATTATGACTTGCCAAGCCAATTACTCCAGTAATCAAACTTCACTTGCTCTTAACTTCTCCTATCAGTTTAAACCTGCTATCTAACAAGTTACAATAAAGCAGCATCAGCGTATTACTCATCAATCACTTTACTAATTTAATATCTCACCTGATCACAGCTACTTCTATAAGTATAACTCATATAAGCATGTTATATAACAAGTTACCCCCCAACAGGATTTTTCCTATAGTATGACACTCTTTCTTCTTTTCTATTCTACTGTGACAGGGGTGGCCATGACATAATGTGTAAGGTTGTTCCTCACCTTCATCTTGTATATTTCCGTACGCGAGAAGGTGACAACGCAATCACCAGTCCGTATTTTGGAGAATGATCCCAAAGGAACCTTTAAAGGGACAAGAGGTGAGAGCCTCTCATAGTACTGAACCTGGCAGCATAGGGAAGCAAGGAAAATCGCATTATTTGTAGCGGCATTAAAAAAAAATAACATAAAGTTACTAGCACAAATAAACTAGGAAGCAATGCAAAATTAGCTGGGAGTATCAAACTGATATTAAAAGAATCCATCCCCTAAAAATAGAAGATATGCACTCTCCAATCACAAGGGTGACAGTAGAAACATAATCCAATATTGTTTCTTGCATAAAAATGGCAACGGTCACAAAACAATCAAAAGCTCTTATCAGTAGGATGTGGTCTCAGCAGTAAGATTCAAATCATGACTTACAGGACCTTTTTCTGTCTAAAGCCAACTGAAGGAAGCAAGGTTAGCGGCATATCACACTAAAAGACCCTGACCCATTCAATCTGGTCGGGTAAAAAGCAGAAGAAGTACAAGACAGAAGTAAAAGAGAAAGGGTAAGGAGATATGTTAAAAGGTAAAAGCAGGAGGTAGTAAATCAGCAATTCCTTCGCCCCCTTCCTTGCTCACCTCTGAACGTTCATAGATAAAAGAATAGGTTATCCGACATCTATAAATCCTAGGCATAACTACTGTACAACTACTTCAAGTTAGATTTGATCTTTTTAAATCAACTAAACTTCAAGTATCCCACACATGCAGGATGACCTGATGAAACTTTTTCTTCTCTTCGGCACTGAACTAAGTTACGCCTCATGCAAACAAGCCCATTAAACTTAAGGCCCTAGACGTACACATCAAGTTCAATGAGTACAATATAAGACTTGTCAAATAAAAAAGGAAATTTTCCTTCAGCTTCGACTATGTTGAAAAGATATTTTTTATGGGAAGTATGTCGTCAAGATAATTCTTTTTTAATGAAGTAATTGGTTCCATTTCTGGCATCAAGGAGATATAAAATACCTTGTGTTGTCCAAGATATTCATTTACCCTAGTGGCCTCTAGACGAGTATCAGGACTCAAGAAATTGACTATGCAAGAACTTAGCCCCAGCTTTCCTTATCGCTGAACAGATTTTGAAGAAGGTATCTTCAATTAATTCTAAAAAGAGCTACAAGCATGTCAGATATTTCTAGACAAAATATTGAAATGGTCAGATTGCAGTTTGTAAAATTTTCGGAATTATTCTGCCCGCCTTGGAGGTACTAACTTTTGGCAAGCAATCTTCTAGAGGGAAGGTCATGTATTTACAACTACGTACAGGCCAATAAAGGAGATGTCAAATCATAAAACTAAACACAACATTCAAAGAGTTCACAATTGTAATATCTTCATTACAACAGAAAGATTTGAAAAACCGAGTTTAGAACTCAGAACAAAATTAACATGTTTGCAAACTCGAGTTTTTGAAAGTTTTCAAATGCACACCACCTTTTGTTTAAACACCAGCGAAGAAAAGGTCAGTACCTTGATGGAGTCTCCTGTCACTTTGAGGATTTCCTGAACAAGAGGTACAGCTGCTGCATCTCCACACAGATGCAACTCATTAGCAGCTAGTCCCAATAACGCACGTGTAAATGAAAAACCCCTTGTCCTACACCCTATCATCTGAACAAAGTTGATGGCATACACAATCAATAATTCTAGGATACAAGAAACAGTAACAAGCAAAACTGGATAACTGGTAATCCTTTAATAGGCATTAGCAAAAAGAACACATTTAGATTAGAATAAGTGATGAGGGTTAAAGAAAAGTCTGAAACCAAAATCCCTCTCTCTCTCTTAAAATTTTGAGACTGAAGACCAATATAAAATCAATTTTTTCTTTTCCAGTGCAGCCAAATTTGAACTTTCTGAAGAACCTAGAAAGGCTTCATAGCATGATGGAAATATAGGAAGGAGGAGAAACAAAGGGGAGTCTCTTCCTGATTTCACTTCATGATCTTCTCATAAATATTCATCATCAATTTGTGGAATATATGTACCCTCAAGACCTCTTTTAGTACCATTGTTCCTATCCTGGACCTGGGCTCTCTTCAAAGCCCTAGAGACGTAGGAAGAAATTTACTCAGCCAGCATAATAACTCCAACAGATAGAAAAATCTATCAAGAACACCCCCCCCCCCCCACATGAGCAAATATCCCGTCACTTTTACTTGTCCACTATACTAAAAATCCCACCTTACCATATCAACAAAAGGACATATTTTTTCATGTTTTACCCCTTCGAGATTAATTACTTATTCCCCGGATCATTTCCTAAGGCTTTAGACTACAACAACAGCATAACTAATGGAATCCCACAAGTGGGTATGGGGAAGGTAGATTGTACGCAGACCCTTACCCCCACCCCCCACTCCCACCCAACTTTGCGGGGTAGACGGGTTATTTCCAATAGACCCTAAACTCAAAGGAGATTCTTTTGAAGCAGGATTGCAAGAAAAATATGACAACAAAATAGCAATATACAAAGCAAACGAAGCAACCTATAGTAATGCACATTGAAGATTAAGAGACTAAGCAACCACTAAGTGTTTCTATTCATAAGGAGAAGAGGAGAGGAGGAGGCTAGCCCCCTACCTCTCCGACAAGAAGTGCCACAACACGCAGCTATCTTCTAACCCTTCTACCCTGATCCGCAACCTCCAAACCTTCGTATCTAGGGCGATGTCCTAAGTGAGTTGTTGTTGTGTCATAGCATGTCTAATCATCTCCCCAGTTCTTTTTCAGTCGGCCTCTACCTCTCCTAACTCCTACTACAACCAATCTCTCACACCTCCTTAATGGCACATCCACGCACCTCCTCTTCACATGCTCATAATATCTCAGTCGCCCTTTCCTCAGCTTATCAAACCATGGAGGCTATTCTCATCTTGCCCTGTATAACTTCATTCCTAATCATATCTTTCCTAGTATGCATACACATCCATCTGAGAATACTCATCTCCGCTACCTTCATCTTCTAAATGTGGCTTTCTTGACTGGCCAACACTCTTTCCTATACAATAATGCCAGTCCAACTACTAGTCCGTTGAAGTTGCCTTGAAACCTTAGTGACACATTCTTATCGTACAATACCCAAAGTCAAGCCTCAATTTCATCTACCCTACTCCAATACAATATATGAAATCATCGTCAATCTATCCATCTCTTTGGATACCCGAGATACTTGAAAGTTCCTCTCTTGGATATGACTTGCACAACAATCTTCACTTCCACCCTCGCTTCATCCGTTACGATACTGAATTTGCACGCTACGTACTCTGTGGGATTAATATATAGGTATTATGGTAAAATATACACTTCATTTATTATTTCTTAAAGGGAGAGCAAAGTCTATTATGGACAAGTAAAAGTGAACAGGGGGAGTTTATGATATAACCTTGTCATTATATGTGAAGTAACAAGAAGACACCGTTATCTAAAAGGGTTAGGAGGTAAGCCTGCTTCACAAAGCTCTACTTCTTGGAAATTTCTGGCCTCGTGAAAACCACTCAAGGTGCATTCATGTAGTGACTCCAAAGCCCAACTAGCCACTGTGGTAACAGAAATTTTATTTCCTCAGTAATTGGGGCAGAACATACCAGCTACTTAGGCTAACCGAGAAACTTAAGTTAAGAGGAGTTTAAAGGTTGACATCTCCAAAGACATCCCATCAAAGTGTATGATGAATTAACGACCATAGGTTCTCTGTCAATGGTTCATCTTTTTTACCAAAATAGAAACACACAAAAGAACCCCCCACCTACCAAAAAAGGGGAGTCCAACTGAAACAGTCAAGAAAGTCAATTAGCTTCGCTTCAAAATGATTTATACAGAGATAACTGATACCTAAAGTTACCCAGTTGGGGTGCTACAAAAAAGAAAGTTCCTTCAGAAAATTAACAACTCTAACTTACAACCTCTACCAAGAAACATTCTATAAAGTAACTCTTTATGTGTCTACCAGATCCAGAAGTGCTAAGTCAGTGTAGATTAATTAGAAGTGGAAACTGTGAATCCCTAAAAAGCTACACTGTGGTCATACAGGTCAGCAAGGAAATAGCTCCACTAGACCAAAGGAGCTAGATTAAATACTGTAGATTCCTAGAAAAAAGCAGACTTGTTTCTCAAACTGAATGGACACCTATCAGTCTATGAGATGACTTGGATTTGGGACATGAAAATATAGGGGAGATGGTTCTCTTACTCATACTTTGTAAGTAAATACAAAAAAAAACACGAAAATGATACATTATAAGTTAGAGGCACACCTGAATTTCATCAATAATTGCACATTCGTAGTCAGATGTAACATCAGCCATCTCTACTGTAATAGACTTGTGTCTTGCACCCTCAACTTCCTCCCTTTCTTGTCCAGTAATAAGATCACAGGGAACATTTGACTTGTTTAACCTTTTTGCGACCTCCCATGCTAACAGCCTCAGAGGACCACAATAAACACCTGAATTATAGATACTTACTGATTAATTATGTGCTTAAGGCAATTCAATTAATTGAAAGCAGAGAAGTAAACTCAGAAGATTTTATGGTATTGACATTTACAGTTTACCAGAAGAACTTGACTCGAGCTGTTTTAGGGCATAATATGTTTTGCCGCTGTTTGTAGGGCCCACATGTAAAAAAACATTGCGGCTTTTCTTTCGAGCATGTGGATACCATGTATGCGGACGACTGAAATTTGAAATGGATTATAATGGAAAAATCATTGTGCACATTTTTTCTTCTTTGATCAAGTAATATAAATATATAGGTTCCTACATAAAATCAAGGAACCAACAAAAATAGTAGATGATCTTCTTTCATGCAGTAAATAAGAGACAAGATACAATTCTTACGTAAGGTCTGTAAAATCAACTTTTCTAGCAGCAGTAGAACTGCTGAATTTCCTTAAGCAATTACAAATACCAAAAGAAGCTTCTGTTGCCATATTCCCTGGGAGCAAATAAAACTCCCCACCACCTGTCCAACAAGAAAGTGCTTGAATCGTTAATAATCGGTTGGCTGTAATCCTGCTACATTTTTGCAACTACAACTTCATAGTATTAGAATTGACCAAACAGCAAAGGACATATTACACTCCGCAAGTAGAATCAGTAGAGCACTGAAACATAAACTTGGAATTATGTCAATCTACGCCTGCACACATAGTTACTGTATAAAAAGAGCAAGAACTATTGAAACAGCACATATAAACTGAGCAGAAATCATTCTCACTGTTTTCTCAAAAAAAAAGTTGAATTTTGGCAAGAATCATCATACTAGTTCTCCACAAGACAGCATGAACATGTTAATAACATAACGACAGAAGTAGATCTAGGAACTAAGCAGGTCTTGCAGTCTCAATCAACATCGATAATAGTCTAATAGACAATACCCCTCCTGGCTCCTACCATGTTACGGTGAAATTTACATTCCTTGAGATGTGACATCGACATTGCACGTAGTTAATTCACGAGTGAGGTCTGAATAAACTACCAGTAGATAATATCACCTCGTGCATCTAACTATAAAGGATAAATATGTATAACCATCACCAGAGAAGAACTCTTGTATTTTTCTTTAGAAGACTTGATGGAGAAACTCATGAATCAAAAAGTGCAAATATGATATAAATAACAGAAGATCTGCACAGAAGGAAACCAACCCTTCCTAGACAGCAGAGCCATTCACATTATGTACAATATAAAGACAGTGGCATAGACTATGTGAATCATTTCTGCTTTATTTTGGCCTGATTCGCTTGTTCGTACAATATAAAAGACAGCATCTCTGTGCTTAATTACCAATGAAAATGCCGTCAACTATATGAATCTTCTATGCTTTATTTTGGCCTGATTCTCTAGTGAACAATATAAACAACTCAATCTCAATAATACATGGTATACAAAATTCTCATCCTACAAGTATCTACACATCAAATTTCTAGACTACATCAAAATTGGTGCAAAAACCACAGTTTTCTATCCAACATTCCTTCAAAATAGTAAATGAACTTGACAATCCAAAATCTCCTACATTTAGCAATCAATTGAAACCTTACATAACCATTAAATATCTGCCTACAGATTAACAGTTTCTCCATCTATTTTGACAACTCAAATATGATACAAAATCAAAGTACAAAACAATATACTAGCATTCTCCAAAATGCTGAAACAAAAAAAAAACAGCAAAATTCCAATTATTCCATACAATAAAGAAAACAACTTCAACTGAACTTTTTTAAAAATAAAAAAAACATTTTTTTTCTTCAATATATTATTTTCCGAGAAAACAATGACAACTACACAATATGAAGAAAAGGGTATAAAGTAAAATTGAAAATTTACCATTTAATAGAGTCTTATACGAAATGCTCGCCGGCGATAGTCTCCGGCGAAAGAGTAAAGACGCCATTTTTTTCTTCTTTTTTTTTTCTTTTTTTTTTAGTTTTTAAAAAATATCCCTTAATCTATTTCTTGTGAATATTGGTAGAAATGGGAATTTTTCAGTTTTAATATTTCAGAAATTCTGAGAAGAAGAAATCATCGGAGGAGAAAGGTGCCGAGAGAATTGTTGCGTCTACTCCGACCGCCGACTTCGGTTCTCAACTAAAGAAAACTAAAAATTGAATTAAATCAAATTATTTTAATTACTTATTATTTTGATAATTTTCGAAATAGGCTAAAAAGTAAGAAATTAGGAAAATGTTTAATTGTTTTTTAATTTATTTTCAGGAAGAACAAATAGTTTATTCATTGCTAATTTGCTTCTAACAAACACTTTTGTCATTTTCCTTGTTGTTAAAGAGATCAATTTTAAATTATATTGTATTTATTTTTTATCTTATTAATATAGAAGAAATTCACCCTCTTTGTTAAAGTTATTTTAGGAACCCAAAACCGAAATTATTTGATAGTTTTCTTATGGTAGGTTATTAATTTTTAAGTTACTTTCAAATATAGCAAATACAAAAATATATGTGTATTTATTGGTATAGTTTACATAATTGTGTTTTATAGCAAACATAAATATGTATATTTCGCTATATATAGACAAATGAAAGTTATGGCTATTTCACTATACATATATACAAAAAAAATAATTGTTTAATATGTTTTGACATACATATACAAAAGAATTAATTGTATAATTTGTTTTGTATAAAGCAAAAAAGAGAGAAAGGCGGAAAAAAATTGGACAGAAAAAGATTATATTTGTATAATTATAAGCGTATAGGACGAAAATATATTCATTTGTATTTGTATATACGATTCTCTCTCACTTTATACAAGCACAAATGCAATGTATACATTTGTTTTTATATAAAGTAAGAGAGGCGAGCGAGATCTGGGAGAGAGGAGAGAGGGAAACGAAATATATATATATATATATATATATATATATA